AATGTGTTGACACTCATTGTCAGCGTAATATCCATGACGGAGTGCATGTCAGAGCCACAGTGACCTGAATATATTCCTGTGCCTGCAGACAGATCATGTTCAGTGTGACAGGAGTGCTTGGAGAGGTGTTGAAGTATGAGGTGCAGGCTGAGGCGGTGACCATTTTTGCACTTGTATTGCAGTGAGATGTTGGAGTGACAATAACTGGCAGAAATTTAAAATTCAGAGCAGGGCTGCAGAGTGCTTGTAGGAAACAGTTTGTATGTACAAAAAGTGCTCTAAATCTCCATTTACACTCTGCTCTGCCCCTTTAAAATTGGTTTTCCTTTGAGGAGCACGCTTTGCCTTTTAACAGCAAGGAGAATAGCTTTCAAACTTTTGAATTTGACAAAAAGGAGGGTATTGTTCTTAATAATTCACACCTTTACTGGTTAGTTCAGAGAAGGTTTGACACATTTGGCTTGACATCCTCAGCTTCTGCCTCTTAAAGGTTTTGCCCAAACATCAAGGTCCCTCCTGCACTTCATTGTTTTATTCAGATTAGAATAATGACCCTGCCAGCATCGAGTCGGGACGGGGCCTTGGGGGAGGCGACGTGATGGAGACGAGCACTATTTAGTAATCCAATCAGCTGCCGTATGAGCGTCTGCTCCTCGTGGCAGCTCAGTCTCCAGATTGAGTTGTTCAGTCAATCATGGATTCAATATTTACTTGATGATTCAATATTTACCAAGGCGCTTTGGGGCACATGTGACTTAGGAGACGATATTGCTGCGAGCTTCATATCAAAGGCTCGTTACATTTATGGGTGAGGGTGAGTGAGGGGAGGACGAGGAGTCACTGTCTCATCTATGAGACACTTTAGCTCTGGAACCGAGCCAGATCCCCGCTTGTATCTGTGTCTGCAAACTGTTTATCGTTGGCTTCACTCAGCTGGGTGTTAACATCACTGAGCAGATGTGCATCTGCTGAATAACTCACGTTTCAAGTTTAACCTTGAGTACAAACGTTTAAATGAAACTTTTTTTTTACAACTCTATCTATCCATATATATAGATGTATAGATGGAAGGATTTCTCTTCCTTTCCCCTGTCAGAGGACAGATGTCTGATGGTAAGTACGTGCGTTCCAGTTGGATGCGCGTCACTGTGAATATTTGATCCTCGTGGAGTGTGACTGCTGTATTGCACGGCTGATAGGCTGCATACCAATCGCTTTCCCTCCACCTCGCACTTGTTGCATCAACCTCAGAGCCAAACTGTTTGATCCCCAAGTCTGATTAATTTCTACTGCTGTCAAAAGAAATATTCTGTCTACTTTTCTCCTCCCCCCCCCCACACCCCTGTTTTTATCTGTTATATCCATAGTGGAGGGGGAAAAAAACCTAAAACATAAAGAGAATAGCAGACACTTTAAAGTCTGTGTCAGGCTGAGTGAAGCTCGTATAGAGGAGAGAGCCTCCAGATAAAAACAGAAAGTGCAGATAGTCTAATGGTTTTTTGTTCTCGCTGGTGGGAAAATGTAGAATTGAGAAAAGAATCAGAACTGAACATGGTTTCAAAATAATATTCAAATATCTGAAAACACCCTCGCCTCTGTCTTTACCTTTAGTCTCACTTTTCTAACTCAGTGTCAGTTCTAATTTAAGAGCTGCGTGTACTTCTGTGTGTACTTCTGGGATGCTGTTAATTAACAACACATGAATAATTTAACATGAGATTATTCATCACATGCAGCGGTGCACATCAATCTGCCGCTCCAAACGCCACTGCTAATCAAACCAACAGAGATGTGAGACCGCCGTTGTTATCCAGATCGATATTATAGTGACGGCCCTTCATGCCTCAATTCCCATCATGCTTTGTGATGGACTCACCGATTGGTTTGTTACGTTTTTAAAGATTTATATTTAAGATTTTTATGTCTTTATGGTAGAGACAGGACAGTGGATAGAGTCAGAAATCAGGGAGAGAGAGAGAGAGAACAGGAGAATAACATGCGTGGGAGAAGCCACAGTCCGGATTTGAACCTGGGTCGCCCGCTTCGAGGACAACAGCCTTTGTACATGGGGTTGCAAACTAACCCCTAGGCCACTGGTGGCCCTTGATGTTTTCTGTGGGCCCTGTTGTTTGTGTTGTTCATTTCAGTATTTGGAGGACATTGTTAAAAGTGATTTTGTGTTAAGTTGTAGTTATTCTTTTGTTTTGACCTTGACTGACCAGGCCGTTGTATTTACTGACCACAGCTTTGTTTTGCCAGTTTGAGGCTGACAGTTGAGATTAATGTTTTCAAAGGTTTCCAGTTGACTCTCTTCCTGAATCAGAATCAGAATGTTTTTTTATTACTGAGTTCATTTACACATACAAGGAATTTGACCTTGTTGTTTGGTGTAAAAAACAGTTAGCAGAGGACTAAAGCAAAGAGCAAGTAAGAATTGCTTTAAAAAATTGCTTCAATAGTTTATTGATATTTTTAGATGTCCCTTGTGTTTTCTTGCAACCATCATTCATTTGTGACATGAACAAAAAAGTGTTAGCTGGGAGTTGCTCCTTCATATTCTTATGGCGTATAAAAGACGATGATAACAAATGTGCTGTATCATCTCAAGCTGTTAAATGATAATCAAACACTGTCTCAGGGTTTGGTTAAACTTTGTGGTTAAGCATGTCTTGATTATCTTTCTTCAGTGAAGGTTTATTAGCATCATCATTGATGCAAATGTACTGGTTTAAACTAAAAAAAACAACAACAGATAGTTGATGTTAAAACTGTCTTGTTTGTGAAATCAGGGTCGTCTGACATGTTTGGGTTTGACCTTGTTGGACTTAATAGCGATGTTGTTTCTGTCCTCACTGACGTCAGACATTACTGTGGTACTTATGTTGCCATTTACAACACGTTCTCTGAAACATATTTAGAAAAATTCAGGACAGTCCTCGTCTGTGTGCTTATTCACAAATGTGCCTCACAGCGTGAAGTATCTCTGTTGGACGGTAGAAGACGCTGCGGAAAATCCAAGATGGCAGATGAATCTGCAGAGTCTGATGCAATAGTCACATTTTTTTTTTTTGCCTTAATATACGTGTAATTGAGCGTACAGTACACACAGTATCAACGAGTGGAAAAGAACATATCAGTGAAAAGCCTATGGAACAGCTTCATCCCAGCATCATTCGAAATCGCACCAGTCGCACTTTAGCCACATGATATAAACGTTATCGCCCCCGCCTGCTCACTTCCTGTGATTTCCTGAGGATTTCCAGCTGTATTCACCCTGACTTCACATGGAAGTGTGGCATGAACATTTCAGATTGAAGTTGGTTGGTGAAAATTTTGGTGCAGCTCACCAACTTTTCAGGACTTTTGTGCATGTGTGAAAACATCAAGACACAGTGCTGTAATTACTCAAAAACAACAGTGCAAGAAAAAGCCCTGAATTTGACTCAAGTAGGGTCAAAGGTCAAAGACTTTAGAATATGACTTGTTTTATTAATTCATTTTTCATACAAGCAGTACCTATGTTAGTGGTTCCCAAGCTGAGGATGTGGCCCTTACATGACTTACACAAGTGAGGTCATGAGTTGATGAGTTTGGCAAGAAGAGGAACATTCATCATGAAATTGGGTTGATTTTTCTTCGTTGAAATAAAAACCTCTGGAATAAGAAAGGACAATTTAAAATCTCTGAAAGATGTCACAGGGTTGAAACTCAAATCTCGTTCCAGTCAAAGAGATTGTGAGATCTTTATGGGTTTTATCCTTCATGGCATTTGTACGGTAAAAGATTGTCCTGTAATGTTCCAAGTAAAGGCCCCCCCCCCCCGCCCAAAAAAAAAAAAGAAAAAAAAGTAGGTCAATGCTGTAGTATAAATGTGGTGTAGTAAAATGTCAAATATTTTTTACTGAAACATGGGGTTGAGGTATAAAGAAGCAGAAAATAGAAATGCAGTTGTAATTTTCCACCATGGAGCGGTAAAGCAACAAAAATTAAACCCAAGAAGTGGTAAAGTGGAATAATCCTTTAATGTTGTCAGTTTTCTGGCGTGAAGAAAAAAACAGACTTTTACAATTAGCATGTAGTTTCTCCCTCGCTGACTCACACACACACACACACACACACACACACACACACACACACACACACACACACACACACACTCTGCCTCTGGTGCAATCTTTACACACACGTTACATCCACCATCTGTCAATAAACCTCTGATCTACCTGTAGTGGATCACCTACCAGATGATCCCCTCTCCTTGTATTCCCCACACACCACTACACGTACACACACACACATATACATGCAGACACACAAACACTCCACCTATCTTCCCCACAGTGATACTGTCATGACTTTGATCAGGAATAAAGTAGCAGCTGCTACCACAATCCCCTTCTTCCTCCCATCTTGTCTGGCTCCAGTCCCAGAGGGAATAGTCGCTCTCCGTCCGCTCTCGTATAAATATAGACATATAGGATTCCTCTACATAGGAAGTGTGTTAACTGTATTTCAAATATTTCGACTTTTTGCTAACAAATTTAAGAAAAGATTCGCTGCAAATTGACACTCTGCGAGCCGTAGAGAGAAGATAGATTTAAGAGATGGAGACGGAGGCCATTGAAGAGACAGACGGTCCGATTGAGAGAGGAAGCTAAAGGGAATTGGAGACGGAGATGAAGAGAAATGAAGTGAGACAGAGGGAATAGACAGGGGAAGAGGAGGAAGAAGGTGAGAGCACCGGGGATGTGGTGGGTGTTGAGGTGGTGGTGGGGGCGTAAATAAAGAATTTGTCACGCTGCCGACAGAGGGAGATTGAAAAAGAAAAGTGTGAGAGGAGAGCTGAGGTTGAGTTAAAGCTTTCTTATGCTCTTAAAGTGTTGCTGTTTACTGTCCACTAAGCTCTAACTCAACTTTCTCTTTTCCTTCCCTTCTTCGCCTCCTCGCTCTCAATTTTTTTCCTCTCCCTCCTTCCTTGCTTTCCCTTTCCTCCCCTACAGGCACGTCCATAATCCAGGTGACAGCGACAGATGCTGATGACCCGACTTACGGGAACAGCGCCAAGCTCGTGTACACACTGGTGCAGGGCCAGCAGTACTTCTCAGTGGATCCCCAGACAGGTGAGTGTGTTGATTTGTCTGAGAGTGTGTGTCTCACACACACTGTCGCACACACACACCTTTAGGTGGAGAATTTTAAAAGATGCACAGCTGTCGAAAAGGTAATACACACACTGCACTGAAGCAAATATACTCAAGATGTTGAAGTGCAAACACACACACACACTGTATGAGCAAACAAGTGAATTCATTTAGAGGTAAGTACACACAGACACAGCGAGAGGCAAACTCTGCTGTTGAAAAATGAAGCCAATGCATAAGTGCAAAGAAGTGCAGTTCCTCGAGGGTCCATTTGAGGCTGGCTGCAAAAGCCCCGGAAGTCATATACACACCTATTCAACTTGTTTACAGCCTGGTTCAAATCAGGCATTCGGTATGAATAGCCCATGTCTAAATTGGCAAACACTGTACAGGGGTTGCCTTTATTATGACTCATTTCACTAGCAAGGACAGCAGTATTAGTTTGAACGTTTAATGTGAATTGTAAGATATATTGACAGATGTATGTGTATGAGAGGGGTGTAGGTGTGAGATGGCCGTCGTCTTTCAGACTGGTCTGGGAGGTTGATCGGGCGAGCGAGAGACTCAGAGTGGGGGTTCCGTCTCGGGTGTGGATCCACCCGAACTGATTACGGCCCCAGACTGAACCTGAAATAGTTGTGTCGAGTTGGATGGGAATGGATAAGGAAGGAGGGAAGGGATGAGGGTTAGGGAGAGAAAGGATGAGGAAGAAGGGAAGGGATGAGGGGTTAGGGAGAGAAAGGATGAGGAAGAAGGGAAGGGATGAGGAAAGAGGGAAGGGATAAGGGAGGAGGGAAGGGATGAGGAAGGAGGGAAGGGATGAGGGGTTAGGGAGAGAAAGGATGAGGAAGAAGGGAAGGGATGAGGAAAGAGGGAAGGGATAAGGGAGGAGGGAAGGGATGAGGAAGGAGGGAAGGGATGAGGAAGGAGGGAAGGGATGAGGAAAGAGGGAAGGGAGGGTGGGTAGAAGGATCTGAGACAAACAGGGTGTGGTGAGGTGACTAGGTGTTAAGTGGGCTGTCAGCTAATTGGAGGTGTGGTTTTAGGCGTGGTCCTGCTCCCGAACCTAAGTTAATACATTAACTCCATGTATTTTGAAGGGGCGGGGCTTATCTGACTGACAGACGGGAGTTTGAAGCTGTTTGTCAAAAGGCTTAACGTGCAGTCCCAACTCTAGCTCTTTTAAACAGTTTAAAACATGGACGCAGTCTCATTCACCCACTGTTTTCTGAAGAGGAGATTCAAAGCCTAACAATGGGCGTAGGGCAGCCAGATTGAAAATGCTGTCTTAAACTACATACTGTACCTCCAAACAATAGCCTTCCTCTTCCATTAACCTTTAGCGCCAGAAAACCAAAATGGCAAAATCTTCAACTGGAGGCTTCTGAAAGTGTTGACAGACAAATGTTTGGTGAGGTGTATTATTTATTCAGTGTATAGTGAGAGCGGACGAACATGATAACACAAACATGTGCATGCAGGTGTGTATGAGTGTGCAAACACAGGTGGAGATAAGCATCTGAGAATATGCTGAGCTGCATGCAAAACTGAGAATTGTAGCTCTATCTGTTCTCCCCTCTGTTCATATACTCACATGCATTAAGCCTTACACACACACACACACACCCACACACACACCCACACCCACACACACACACACACACTCACACACACACCCAGAACAAACATACAAACTAACGCTTTTCCCTCCTGTGCATCCCTCGGTGTCTTGTCACACTTAGTCATCCATCTCTCTCACTTCCTCTGTCCCTCCTGAGCCGCCTAAAACACCCTCCTTTTTCAAACACACACACACACACACACACACACACACACACACAGGCACATACATCTGCCCCCTCTCCCACTGTTCCCCCTCCCTGCTTGGCTCCAGTAAGAGTTGGCAGGAACGTATCCATGACGGCAGGGCCTGAACAAAACACAGCTGCAGCCTTATATTATTTCTGACTGAGTGGAAAACAAAAAGATGTGTGTTCAAAGAGAGATGTCAGCAAAGGTTTGTGAACTATTTCACAGGGTGGATTACAGGGGAGGGGGCTCAAAGGACCTGTCTGCTGAGTGTGTTCATGATACGTCTTAGTGTCACACATGTCACCCAAGGGCACTTAAGTTTTGGTTGAGTGGAGAATGGTTTATTTATATACTTGATTGTATTATGATGACATTTTATTTAGCTTGCTACCTTGGAGGGAAGTCATTGCTTGGTTGACTCAGAGATGAAGTTCAAACTGTGTGATGCTTCAGATACTGCTCTGATTGACAGTTTGAATACGAACACAACAGGAGGAGGCAGAAGTTCTTTGTATTTTTGTCCACATGTGGAAGCATACTGGGTTTGCATGTGCACACAGGTCACATTGAGATGATAGCTGTGTATTTTTTCCTAATTAAATGTTAATTAAACAAACAGTAAAAAAAAATGGGAACTGTCACAGTAAAAGAGAATCAAAGAACTGGAGCTATAGTTGATCTATCAAGAATATTTATTCGAACAAGGCAAACAAAAACCTACTTTCTTATCAAAGTCCAAAGACGTGATACATGCAGTAGTGATTGATAAAGACAAAAATGCGTTCGAATTGTCATTTTTGCTTAGGAAGGTTCCTAACTGAGTGAAATGATCCGGAAGCATTTAAGTGGCGGCCATGATAAGAGCCGTTCAAATTCTCTAAAAGCTAAGGAAAGGTGGGTCAATGCTTCCTTAATACCGGCAAGAAGGCACAGCGGAAAGTTTTTTAGATGCGATTTTTGTAGTCCATTTTCAGAACATTGTAGTTTCAACACGGCGGACCCACATCATTAACCTCCGCCGGCCCGTTGCATTTAATTACATCGCCTTTAAATGCAGTCGGATTGTCAGAGCAACGAGATCGCCTTTCCCTAAGTCCTTTATGAATTCTCCTAACATCCTTCCTTAAAGGTCCCATATTCTGCTTTTTCTGGTTTTATTTGCCCTTTAGTGTGTTTTCCAAGTGTCCTGTGCATGTTTAGGCACATCTATGTGCAAAAATTCAAAGTCAGCGGAAACGCGGCTTCTCCTACCTCCTCCTGTTAGCTGTAGCATTAGCCGCATGTAACGCTCGGTTCTAGCCCCCCTCGATAAAAATGTGTCAGTCCAATGTCATTGTCAGTGTGAGATCACTGATCTAAGCCCATTGGCTCGTTGTGGCAAGCCCTGCAGCTCATGTTGAAATTTCTGAGACGCGTGCTGAGCAACAGGCCAATAACGACAGAGCGTATCGGCAGACCAATCAGAGCAGACTTGCCCACGTGGGGTCTAACAGTGTGGGCTCAACAGAGTGCAGCTGACGGACTCAGAGCGAGGGAGCAAGGAGGAGCAGTACATGAAAACAGACACTTTTTTCAGACTTTATCTATTGTGAACGTACAAAAGTAGAAACATAGATTAAATATACAAACCCCAAAAAGGGCAGAATATGGGCTCTTTAACCTCATGACGTTTTCCCCGGGGTTAAGGTAAAGTGGATAGTGAAAGGAGATAGGAGGGACAATTCAGATGCACCCAGAGACTGAAAAGTGGGGAAATCATGACAGGTGTGACAATTACGCAGGTGAAGCCAATCAGGGTGTGGCACACTGTCTAGTGGAGGGAAACACACAAAGGCAGGAAATGAAACACAAGGGGAAGAACTACAAAATACAACTGGAAACACAGAAATAAAAGAGTAGCTTTTAGTTTGAAAGAACCAGAAGGTTACAACATTTACTTAACTACGCAAAAAGGAAATTTGTTACAAATAAAAAAGTAACTGAAAAAAGCTAAAGGGAACATATGAAATCTAAATGTTTGATGTCAGAAGGTGAATATTACGTTTAACTCGTCTTCTGAACTGCCTGGGAGTTTTTCAAAGGGAAGTGAGCCATTCAAAGGAGCAGCGCTCTCATTTATCACAGTTTATTTATCACTGTGGCTGCAGGAATATGCTGAATGGGTTAACTACAGTGCGACGAAAGGGACAAATCAGAATGTGATTAATGTGATTTAAATTCACGAATAGAAACGAAGAAATATAAAAATAAACAAGCTAACAAAGGATTGTGGAAATAGGAGAGGAAAACAACAAATGTGAAAGGCGGGCGGCAGTAGCTCAGTCTGTAGGGATTTGGGTTCAAAACCAGAAGGTCACAAGATCAAGTCCCTGTGTGGATCAAGTCTGGAATTTGGTCTGGTAGCTGTAGACGTGCCAGATCTCTTCCTAGGTGCCCTTGAGCAAGGCTCCGAACCCCCACCCGCTCGAGGACTTCATGTGCAGCCCCTCAATCTGACATCTCTCTGTTAGTGCATGTCCATAGGATCCTGTTTGTGCATGTGTGTATATTTCAGCCTATGTGTGTGTGTAAAAGTTATTTCCCCTCGTGGGATTCATAAAGTATGTCCAATAAAAAAATGTTTAAAAAAATGTGAAGAACAGAAAATAGAAGCTTATAGGTGAATTGAAAAATGAATAAATCTATCCGGAAATATCAACACAAATATGATTAAGAATAATTAAAAAAAGAAAAGGATTAGGAGAATCTTAATATCCTGTACATCCAGTAAAAAGAACTGGCCTTTTTTTTTAAGGGCTATAACCAAAATGTCTTGTAAGCTTTTATTTATTTGTATTGTAAAAGGAGCACATTTTTATTGTGGCCATGTTCTTAGTATATTAATAAATTATATATTTTTAAATGTACCATATGGCGTTTATAATATATTTCCATTGCTTTTGCTATTCCTGTGATGTAAATATCTGCTCTATCTGGAGCAGATACTTGTGCACTACTTGTGTTCTGCACGTTAAAGGTGGATGTCTAGTAATTGATTGCTGGGACATATGAGGACCTCTGATAGAGTGCGGCGCTTTGTGAAATGCTAATTAAGGACTTTATGTCTAATTCCAGCCAGTGTGAATCAGTCGTGACACGCTGCTACGACACAAGTTTTAGTATTCTGAACATGTCCGCTCTCTTCTCCCCGCTCTCTATCTCCCATCTGCAATCACCCCCGCTCCTCGCTGGCTCCATCACCAGACGTCTCATTCCGGATGTGCACTCCAAGGCGAGGCACATTTGCTCGTACATTTAGTCTGTTTGTTTATGAATTCTGCTCAGAAACCGAGACGTTTTTTTTTCCTGCCCGTTTGTTAGCATTCAAAACAGCCGGCACAGTTAAATGTGATTCACCTTGAGCTGCCAAGTCATCCCGGCCTGCTGTGTCTGGCTGATGCTGGGTGGGGGGTGGGGGGGGGGGGGGGTTGAACAGCCAGCATCTCATACACCTGACGAGCACCATCCAATCACATGTAGCAGAATGAGGTCATTTACACGGAGGAGGTGATCGATGTTGAATGGGTTTAAGCGAAGCGTCTTGGTGTGCCGTTAAAGAGCGTGAGATACAGAGCGAGATTTTACGCCCCGTCAGCATGACTGGCTGTCTGTGTTGGGTGATTCATCTTTTCCATATGAGCATCCTCATGTACAGTTTTGTGTGTGTGTGTGTGTGTGTGTGTGTGTGTGTGTGTGTGTGTGTGTGTATCTGCCTTTAACGGGACATTAAGTTATATATTGTTGCTGTCAAATGAAATCCGAGTGTCTCCAAAAAGACAGGAAAGCTGTTAGATTTTCAGAGGAAGCGGTCGTGTTTTCTGCTCGATGACAGTGCATTTTGAAAATGTCAAGAGGGATTTGAAAGAGGACTAAGAAGAACTTGATACATCACTTGGCGTAAAGACATTTTTATTGATGCTATGGGATTTTTTAATAGCATCAACTTGATGACTGTAATCCCTGGGTTATGATCGAGGAACTATCAGCACTGACAGGTTTATGACTCAGTTTACAGAGGCCTGTTTGTGTTTACATAAATTCATCACTAAGAATGCAGACCTATTATTACAATGACGATGACTAAACTAAAGCGGTGGATAGAAGTGGGCACCACTTTCTAATAAAGCATACTTTATACAGTTTAACTAATGGATTTACTGATGGCTGCTGAATGATTTAGCATCGCTTTATGAATCTGTAATCATCTCTCAGCTGATATTCAACTGTAGGGCTGATACAATATTGATATTTAAGATTTGAAAAATACATATGGGTCAACATGTGTTTATTTATTTGACTTATTTACTAACCGTTTTGATCAGGATCTCTTAAACTTGTTTTTAAAATAAGTGGTTATAAAACTGTATATCATCCCAATATTGGCCCAATACAAGCCTGCCATCTGCCTGTTATTTCAGCCCACTATAGGACCATTTTAAGCTTACATAGTGTCCTGGTGTAGGCCCACTACCAGATCAAATATTTAATCCCAATAGGTCCACTGTTGGCTAATATTATCTTTCAATATCTGCCCACTACTCGCTAATATTTTGGCCCAATACAAGCTTGCTAAGCCTATTATTTCAGCCCACTATAGGCTCATTTTAAGCTTATACTGTATATTGTCCTGGTGTAGGCCCACTATCAGAGACTATTTAATCCCAGTAGGTCCACTCTTGGCTAATATTCTTCAATATTCGACCACTGTCAGGTAATATATTGACCAAAAATAGACCTGCTATAGGCTAACAGATTTGCATAATCAAGGCCCATTATACGGGCAAATTTTTTTTGCCCAATGAAGGCCCATTATCAGCCAATTATTTCAGCCTGTTATAGTCTCACTATGAGCATATACAGTATATAGTCCAAATATTATCCCAATACTGACTTATATATTTTCCCAATGTTGCCTCCATGGATAAAATACAGTCCCAGTATAGGCTGTTAGCTTGTCCCGTTATAGGCCCACTATCATTTAATATGTCTGCCACATATTGGGTTATTGAGTCAAGGCACAACAGAACAGATGCTACTGACGCAAAACACAGAGATAATTGTTTTCCAAAATATATTGTTTTAGACAATTTTAATTGATTAAATGGAGCTATAGTGAATATTACTTTGCATTAATAAGTTGTACGCCTGAAGCACTGCACACAACTTAATAACAGTCCAATTTCGAAAGCAATCAATTCCAGGCACAGGTGAGGAACACTTTTTAACTTTGATTTGAAAGTAGTAAGGCTTTACCTGTCTACTCCTTGATTATAAGTAAAGAACTCTGGGGTTGCTTGGTTGTAAAATAATCAATTTGGCTGCAGCATCTTACATCTTTTTGTCTCTTTAATGTACTGTCCACATCCCTCCATTGGGCCGTGAACAGTTACCCTCCAAAAAAAGCTGCAGGGCATCTGGACCAGCCTCAAAGAATTCACAACACTCGTAATTGCAGGCAAAACGGCTTATTGGAAAACAAGGAACCCATGACATTTTATTAATGACTCACTAACATGTAAAACCACAGTCCTGATGAAGTCTTTAATAAGAGGTCATGACTCTTTCAGTTCATAATGAGCAATCAGATTTACTGTTATTAATGTTCATAAGTCATTAAAAAAGGTCACAATCTCTATTAGGTTCCTCGAGTTAACACTGCATGCATAGGGTTCTGGTTATGAACAGATGAGGTGTTTTACTTCTGGAAAACTGTGAGTCCCATTGTTTCTGGCTCTGACGTGCCAAAAGGTCAAAGATCAGTAAGGTGTTTAATTCTAAAACATGATAATAAATGAACTCTAAGTATATGTGCTGAATATGTAAATATAAAATAACCACAGTATAAAGGATGCAATCTAAGGTGTCCTTTGAGTTCAGTCTTCAACCTATTAGGTGAATGCGAACACTTTGATGACTGTAAAGCAGCTAATAGAGGAAAAACTGAAAATCTTGACACTTTTATTTATAACATTGAGGGATGATTTCACTAAAATTGAATTACTACGGTGGCTGGGAAGTGCAAAGCAAAATTACAAAGTGTTTTTAAAAAATGTGAGACAAATTTACATTTTGAAAAACCGTTTTACATTTCATGAAACAAAATTACAAAACCAAAAACACTTACCAAGGACAAAACAAATTTACAAGAAGTGAAACACTTTTACAATCGCTGAGACAAATTTACAAGAGGCAGAACACTTTTACCTGTCCCAAAACAAATTTACAAACGACAGAATCTTGACGGAAAGGGAATGTACCGCGACAAAACAAAACAAACAAAATGAACCCTCACTCGATCACTTCCGGGTCACTTCCGACATTTGGTACATTCCCATTTTGTCAAGATTTTGTCGTTTGTAAATTTGTTTGGGGATTGTAAAAGTGTTTCACATCTTGTAAATTTGTAATTTGTAATTTAAATGTTAAAGTTTTTTGGTTTTGTAATTTTGTTTTCTAAAAATGTAAAAAGGTTTTTCAAAATGTAAATTTGTCTCACATTTGTAATTTTGCTTTGCACTTCCCAGCCACCGTAAATTATACCCAATGATAACCTTAGAGTTTGCATCAATTGGCACTCCTATCAGCCTCGTCTTATTTGAAAGCATATTAATCTAATTATATTCAAGTAAGTGGTGCAGTGGTTAGTGCTGTTGCCTCACAATGAGAAGGTTCCTGGTTCTAATCCCTGCATGCAATGAATCTCTCAGGGTACTCCAGCTTCCACAGTCCAAAGACATGTTCGTTAGGTAAATTGGTGACTTTAGATTGCCCATAGGTGTGAGTGTGATTTTGTCTGGTTGTTTATCTCTGTATATCAGGGTGTACCCCGTCGCTCACACAATGACAGCTGAGATCAGCTCCAAACCCCCTGTGACTCTGAACATGAAAGGGGGTTTAGATAATGGATGGTTGGTTGGATATTTAAGTGTCCATGAAGTCTTGCAGCTCTGTGCAGTTTTGCTCTTGTTTTGCATCTGATTGTGGAGATGAGACGTCTGGCCTTCAATACTCTACTGCATGACGCTGTGCTGTCATCCTGACAGAGGTCAAATGTGTCTACATATAACTGATGAGCTGTGAGGGGAGGGGACACTATTTACCCATTTATTGTGAAGTCCAGACTCAACAGATGTGATACAAGTTTAACCTTCCTCCCCGGAGGGAGCAGGCCATAGCTTAGCTCGTCTAGATCGTCACTCTTTTCTCCTCGTCCTGCCTCCACATGTGAACAAAGAGTGCTGTATGTCCTATTGTTGAGCCTCGGACAGCCTGGGACGGATTTATCACCTCATTATAATAACAATAGTAATGTCAATTTACTGTTAAAGGTCTTTTTATATTCAACAATTAACCATGGCGTAATAATAATAATGCCCTTCCCTTCTATAATCTGAATTTAATGAATTCCGAAGAAGCAGCCTTTTCTCGCCTCAGCATCAACACCTCCACAGGCTTTATCCCTCACGTATAAGGTCATGAATAAAATCTTGCCTTTATTATAACAAAGTGTGACTTAGTAGAAAGTTGTAACTGCAAAGCCTTGGTCTAAAGCGGTGTTGTGATCCCACTTTTGTATCTTTACAGGAAGCCGTGTTTAAAAATGTCATCACAGCTGGATGAGGTCCCTCTGTGCTGGGAGCGATACTTTCATAACAGATCACAGGCCAGTAAATGGGGTTTAAAAAAGCCAAAAGGTTCAGTGCCTGATAATCACTGAGTCATAAATATTGATCAAAGAATCTTTTCATCCCACACAGATATATCACAGGCAGTTTATGCCGCACACAAAAGCCTATTTTAACTTTCTTATAAATGCCTCACCGCCTACATCTTTCTGTGTGTGTGTGTGTGTGTGTGTCTTAGGTATTCTGCGTACAGCTGTGCCCGACATGGACAGGGAGACCCAGGACCAGTACCTGGTGATACTTCAGGCCAAAGACATGGGGGGCCACTTGGGCGGATTATCCGGGACCACCACTGTCACTGTGAGGCTGTCTGACGTCAACGACAATCCTCCACGCTTCACTCAGAGTGAGTTACTCATGCAGACACCCACGGGAGGAGAATGAATACCAGCAATAGACGGAGAGCATGACTAAAGAGAAACAATGAATGCTGTGCTCTCTGTTTGAACACATCTGAAGAGTTTTTGTAAAACCTCCCACTCCACCCAAACCCCCCCCCCTCATTCACACAGCTCCAGCCTCTGAAAAACTAACAATGCATTAATGATGACAATGTTGAGAGGGTCATTCTGAGTGGTATGTATGTTCATAACAGTTCGTAAACAACAGCTCTTTTTGCACACTTAAGAAGTCGTGGGCGTGGCTGGTGTCATTTTGATTGACAGCTGCCTGGCTAATCTTTATATCAATGGTGACAATCGGTGTAGTGCAGCTTTTTACAGTGAAAACCATTTTAAACAATATATTATTATCATATATTTAAATCTGGATCAGAAGAGGGAGCCGAAGTTCTGACATCTGAAAATAATTACTTTTAATTTGTCACTAAGTGTTGACTTCCAAAACATTTGCTGTCCATATTGTTGTTAGCGTTTTGCATTCGCTGGCTGCATTATCTGAGAAGCCCCAATTTGTTCTCAAAGCTATGAATGAAAGCTAAGTGGAGGCTTTTTAGCATGAACTTGGCTTTATTGGTACAGAAATAAACTCCCCAAACTGACTCCCAACATTCACTGCCTGCAGATGATTCTTACATTGAGTGTGAATAGCAGTATTGCTGCCATGTGACTTGAAATCAACTCATTGTATTTGTCAGATCAAAAGACCATCCTGATTGCCAGACATTATTTCAAGAATCATTTTTAAAAGGCTTTGAGAAGACCAACTCTTATTTTTTTCAAATACATCATTCAATCATTTCCAGCACTTCAAAGTGACTGACTTCTCACCTGTACAGTGACAGATGTAGATCAGTAAGTATCATTAGTACATTTTGGACATTGTGCTTTCTAACACCATATTTCTTGGCTGCTTAGTCGTTGTTTAATGACTCTAATGCTATTATCTTAAAGTTGTTCAAATCTCTGCCTCAGTTGTCACCCCAGTGAGCACCCCTAAATCTTGAACTCTGATGGGCGGGCCTTACGTTTGAACCAACTATTTGGGCTGTGTTACAACAGGCTGCTACTCGCTTCCTTTGCATTTCAATGAAGCCACTTTCATTTGTTAACACCTTGAAGTGTAACTTTGGACATGAACCTTCTTTTTGAGAAGTCAAAGAATTAAGCTAAAAAGATTTAAACGTTAATAAAACATACAACGGTATATAACATATAACATATATGTTATACTTGTTGTTATTGGAGAAGATATGATGAGTGGGTTAAAAATATACTATTCATCCGTGTGTGTGTGTGTGTGTGTGTGTGTGTGTGTGTGTGTGTGTGTGTGTGTGTGTGTGTGTGTGTGTGTGTGTGTGTGTGTGTGTGTGTGTGTGTGTGTGGGCACTTCACACTTCAGTTAACTGCAGAAGACGGTGGGTCAGTACGGGCCCCCCAGTCCAAAAAAAGTCTGTCAGTTGTCGGTTATGGGTTATCTTGACCTACTTTAGAGACCCACTTTGTTCCAGACGATCTCTGTGTGTCTCCCTGGCACTGCAGCTGAGTGACAGCTGGCCTCAGTCATTAGCGGTACACTCTCTTTACGTATAAGCGTAGCTGTCTGAATGTATAAGTCTAGATCTTAAATATAAGACACTCACACTTTTTCAGATGTATTTCAAGGAATGAACCCGGTCTTGAATGTCGCACAATACAGTAAAGATTATATCAGACTGAAAACACTCAACTTAATCTGAAATTTTACAGAAACACAAGAAAATATTTAAAGTGCAACTAATTTCTAAATAGTTTTAGAGGCTTTCTATGATGTACACAGGACCCTATCTCACATCTTAAAGGGGGGTATATCGTATTTTGGTTTCTAGTGGTTTTAAAATCTGAAAACTTCCTCGCCTTTTTAAGCATCTTGGAGCTTCAAATGAGTGGGCCTCATTACAACAATTCAGTCTGGATTTCAGTCCCTGTACAGCAGCAAAAGTCACTTTAAATTACAAAGTGGTGCTGTGTTAACTTTTCTGTACTCATATAATATAAAAAAATAAAAAAACTCATTTTAGCGTAGTACAGGGCTTTTTGTTTGGCTCCAGGAGGCAGACGAGTCCTCAGACCTCTGTGACCTGCAGGTCCTGTCAGCAGCAGTCAGGCAGAGGAGACTCCTGCAGGGCTGCAAACTGCCTCATCAACCATTCAGCCATGGATTTCTCTCCTACTATTAGCTCACTGCTTTTCCAACTACAGACATACTTTCAGATTTTTGAGAAGTAATCCGACAGCACCTCTATTAAAACCAGCCTAATCTGCTTCCTAAATAAGTCGTTGATGACGTTTTAACTGAATTCACAGTTTTGGATCACGGAGGTATTTGAGTGCAGAGGAGAGACTGGAAAGGTCCTGTGTTGCTGTGTGGCTTATTCTGCTGAAAAATTAAATTAGACTCTAAATTTGGTCCAAATGAGTCATTTACATAACAGCTGCTGGTCGCCGCAAAGATTTTGTAATCAAGTGTGATTATTGTCCTAGTTGGACATTATACGGCACATCATTCTTTTAGTTATGAGCTGCTTGAAGGAGCCCTGTGCAGCACTGCTGGGACTTCTATTTTTATGGATATGGAGTGTCTTAGAGGACGATATTAATCAATTCTTCTTTTGTTATACCTCTAAAATTGGTAGGTACGTCCTTCATTATGTACAAAAGGACAAAAAAAAAAAGACAGTGAGTCATCCTGTGAATGAAAAGGGGAACCAAACAGCCTTGATGGCCTGTACTCTTGTCATCTTTTACTTAATGTCAGCCCTTTTCTGCTCTTTTTCATCTAAGCAAAAGCGCCATCTCTAAAATAATTGCTGACCTTATTCTCATTAAAGTGAAGAGAGCAAAAGCTGGGAAATAAAGCCTTCTTACAATTACACTTCTTTTTATATTTTGAGAGTGGCTGTGGAAAAGCACACTTACTGAACAATCAAAGTATTATCAAATTGAAATTAAAATAACGAGAGGAGTATTAAGTGTAAAAAAAAAACACGTATTGTTCTGAAGGTTAATGGTTTGAAATAGTTGATCCTTTGATTAAGAATGTGCAATAGTAAGCATAAACCCTTATTCAGACTGATATCCTTGATGAGAATAATACATGCATTTAGTTATTGTTTCAAAACCAAAAAAGTCAGCTTCAGTTTTTCAATACCAACAAAGACCAGGTAGCCCTTCTCACTAATGATGTATATATTATTTTGGCTACAGACTTTCATAGACTTCCTGAAGAGGTCCAAATTTAGACTTTTAAATCATGATCTTACTTGCTGAAATGTTTCAGTTCATGCGTATTTTCCACGCAGAAACCTCAAGCACTAAGGAAATGAAGCCAATGCAAAAATGCCAAAAACTGCAGTTCCTTAAGTGGCCACTTGAGGCTGCCTCTAAAAGTGAGACAATCCCCATTAGGCCCAATATTAAAATACAAGACTAAACTGCAGAATTAAACATGATCAAAGCCTGGTACATAAACTGTTTTGTCTCCATAGCTAATGTATTATTTATGACAACTGCATGAGAAGTGAGTTGTTTTGAACTCACATGTTTAATTAAGTCTTAGAGCTATGCATTATTAATGTTGTGGTCATGTTGAGTGACAGGTGGGCTGATTCTACACAGGTTGGTGCCTTTAAAGATTTGATCATACAAGTAAGAAAAATAATATGGCTTGCTGTGTGGTGTATTACACTGACTGTCAAAGAGGTGTGCTTTAGATTTTTTGTTCAGTGAATCTGTCAAATTGTTTCATTAACTTGTTAGTACTAATCATAGGTATTAGTGTCTGGCTTATTAGCTTGTTCAGTGTTTCACATGCATTGATTTATTTATAGCAGCCTTGGAGTCATTGCATTGGAGTCAGCATTGCAGTTGGCTTTTCCCTACAGAGAAGCAGCAGGCCGTTGTAATAGAGGACCGGTTATTTTGAGATACCTGGTTTCATGCTGTTCATCTGCAGCTTGCTCTCCTGAGGAAGAGGTGGGTGAGCAAGCAACAAACATAGCAAGTTGTTTTTTCCCCCACAAGTTTACTTAACCTTTAGGTGTTATGAATAGTCAACTTGGGCAATCTTCTAGCACTGATACAATCTTACTCACCAGCTAATCAATGAGCAGAGGGCACAGACTGTAAAGCTTTGATAACTTTGTGTTCGACAACCCCTCGCTCTCCTCTACTGCCCTCTCTTGTCCAAACAAAAATGCAAACTCATGGCTTTAAAATAGTGTTGACAAATGAGTGGCTGATGTCAAGGCTGCTACGTCCATTTATGTATTTAGTTCAAGGTATTTACAACTGACAGCAAACCAAAGTAGCTGCTAGCTGGCTGTCTGATACTGACATATTATTATTATTACCAGTTAAATAAACTCTTTGACACGGTGGGCCTCTTGTCAAGTTGGCACCATTTAAAGTCATATCAAATTATTTAATGTCAGTTGCTGGATGGATGTACAGAGAGCTATAATTGGATCATTTTGACAACCAAATAAAAAAATGTTTATCCTCAGGCTTTGTGCTGCAATTGCGTATATACAGTACTTTGTTTTTTTTATTTTTTTTGTGGGGGGGGGACATTTATTTGCAATCCACAAAGGAGTTAATGATACAGACATAGTCTAAAACTATGTGCATCATGTGTATGTGTGTTTGACTGAACCATAACTCCAAGTTGGAGTATGAAAAACAAATTGAGCCAAATGGGCACCCGGGGTTTTCAAGTTTCCTAATAGCCTCCCTGAGCAGAGAGTCACAGTTGCTGTTCCAGCTCCAGCTGCTGACTGTGTGGATACAGGAGCCAAATCAGCAGCCAAACTGCAGTTACTTAGTTCCAGATGAGTTTTAAACACCAGCATGCACCTGTCCCTTTCACCTCACTCAGCATCTTTAACTCAAACCTCTCCCTCTGTAACGC